AGACTGCGGAATAGAGAATGCGTCATTGAAGCAACCAATCAGCACTATTCCGAATAGCGCTGAATAGCGCTGATTGGTTGCTTCAATGACGCATTCTCCATTCCGCAGTCTTTTTCCGCACCGTGTGATTTCACCGTACGTAGCTATGTATACGACTACGACTTAACCTAGTTTTGATGAAGTATATTGTAATGTTTCACACGGTGTGATTTTATCAATAATTAACTACTTCAATTAAAAGCTTTGAAGCATATTAAAAATTTTGTCGCGAAGAATATTTTATGTCGAAGAATATTTACCAAAAGAGTAAGGACCTTAATTAACAATTAAATTGTATTTGTTATGATTGAGTTAAGTAATTGAGTTGAATTTATTGCTTAATTGTAATATTTAAGTATTGTAGAGTATTATAGTATATTTGTATTTTTATTTACATTATTTTGTTCTTAAAGACAGCTTTTTACTATATATTTGCTGTTGTAAAGTAGTGTATATAGTTATTATATAAGTATATTTTTAAAAGAAATTAGTGCAGTATATTTTAAGTGAAATAATTAATAATTACATATATATTACATTATTTAATAAATTTAATATGATATAATTAATCTAATACAGTTTAATAAGTCTAGGCAGTCATTTTTCCTTTGATGATTATTCATACATGTTTTAATATTTGATGTTACAGGATTGTTTGTAAGTCACAAAAATGGCTTATCTTTTGAATAAGACTTCCATTTTATGTCGACCTGTTTTTCACAAGAATATAATTTCTGGTCCTATTAATAAAAACACTCTTGTGAAAAGTTATGAACATCTTACTAATAAGACAAATACCTGGGCAGAGAAAAAATATAAACTTAAGGACAATATAAGCAATGGTTACAAACTTATATATAGGGAACAATTAACTATGAATATGCTAATTACTTCAACATATTATGTTGGTTGGATAAGTTTTGCTCTTAGTCTGTATACTCTGGGATATTTCATCTATATGAAACCACCAGTACTGAAAGGAGTAAAAAATGTATTATCTGAAGAAAAATTAACATTAAAGCCTATGAATAATTTGGAAAGATTATTGTTGATACTTGCTAGTTTTACTCTATCGATCATACTCATAGTAGGCAGCAAAACAATTCCGTTTCGAATTTATTATAATTCTGCAGATAAAATATACAAGGCTGTGTTTGTAAAGGGAATATTAGGCAAAACACAAATGGAAACTTTTGGTGAAGGTACCGTTATTCCTGTATTTAATCGTAAAAATCAAGCAGACTTTCTTTTTAACATCAATGGCCGTATTGTAATACTTGATAAAGAATGTTTCCCAGTGCAAAGTGTACGTGAGCGAATGATTCGCAAAACCAAGTAGATCTATATATGTATTATATTTATATACCATTGCATTCTGTATATATATCACACAGTGATACTCGTCAATGATATTGTTTTCCTTTTACATCAAACATGTGATTGTGAACAAAATCAAGCTAATTAATATATCAATATGTAAACAATTTTTTATGAAATAATATACATATATATAAAATTAGAACTATCATGCTTTTATTTTTTGTTTCAATTTTTTAAATAGAGATAATTTGTACTATATACTGTATGAATTCTGTACATTGTAACAGTAAATATTTATTTTAATTTCCTTAAATTTCTTTTTTAGATAAAAATATAAATTTGTATGTACATTTTTATACTGTATGTATACATGTAGTAAATAAATTTACTACACATACACATGCAATATATAAAAGCATTCAGAAGAGAAAAATATCGTAATTCGTGGATACATATGAAATAAATAATAATTGATGTTTTTGTTTTATTTAAGACGTATAATAACATAAAAAAGAGGGATAGATAGATATATACACATACAAAATCAATATTTAATCGAAAAAAAACATAAGACATTTAAAAATTCTGATATATTCTTACAAAGGATAATATACATTTATATATACACTTATTTCTTAAGTAAGACTATGTTTTATTTTTTACATTTCTTAATTTAACAAGAGATTGATACTTATCAAATTTAAAAAAACAATCATTTCAGACTTTTAAATTATAGCATTTTATTTGTGTGGACGATTTCCAATTCTCCTAATTTTACATATATATTTACACTGTACAAACACTGATATGTAATAAAATGTAATTGTGTGATAATATTCAATAAAAAGTTTGCCTTAAATGGACGTTTTACGAAAAATTGTTTCCCAGGAATTGCATGTAAAATTTATATCACATTATGTAAAGTAATATAAATTATATTATTTTATGATATATGCTTTATGTACAAGCTTGACATTTCTTATTTAGCTGTTAAATTTGTACACAGGTGCTCTTACACTGAACAATGCTAAAATATAATATCTTTTTCCTAGTATTTTTTTCCACACAATTATTTTTCAATCTGTATACTTGCATACTTGTTCATATGGCAGTTTCTTCAAAATTTGCTTGTCTTTTTCGAGTTCAACGTCTATGCTATAGTGCTCTATATGTAATTTCTTCACTATTGCTCTCATACCTTTATGTTTTCCCCAAAGAATCAGAACTTCTTTACCTATCGCGGGAATTACTGTCTCTAAATATTCTTGATCCAGTCGTATAATATGTCCGTTAACTTCTTCCGGTGACTTCAGCTTTACTTTACCAACGAAACCGTTTGTTCCAATTGATTGAACAACGCCTTTAGCTTTGTAATATTTGTCGCCTAGACTCTTCGTGGTTACTTTAACCATTAAACCTTCCTTAAGCCAACCTTCAGTTGCAGAAGGATCATTACTTTTTAATTTCTTGACAGATTCTGTCTTATTGTCATCATTGGATCTTTTGAGTTTTTCGTTTTTCTCATCGATTGATTTGCTTGATTTACTCTGGTTATCTTCACTTTTTATCTTCTCCTGCTTTATTTCAAGAACAGGAAGCAATTTTGGTTTTGGTTTTAGTTTTATGTCGAGGATCAAGGGTGCATCATTCTCAGGACGCATCAATGGTGTTTTAGATGTCTCACCTTCCTCATCCTTCGTATCCTGTTTTGCTCTTTCTATTTGCTTGTCAATAAAATCCATCAGTCGTTCTTCATCGTCTTTGTCCATTTTTTCTTTCTTTGCTTTTCTTTCCTGTGCTGCAAGTGTCTCAGGATCCCTATCGATATATGTTATATACCAGCCTGAAATATAAAACATTTTTTTTAATCTAAAATTTTATCGATAGATAAATCTATAATTGTCAATAATTATAAATAAATTTTGACAATATATAAACCTTTTTCAGTTTCGTCAACAACACACTGTCCAGTACGTCCAAGCCATTTTACAAATGCAGTCAAAGTGAGCCACTGAGTCGCATTCATGTGTATATGTCCTCTGTCGGCAATGTACTCTTGGTATACTCGATTCGCTGGTACTCGTCTGGTGCCAAATTGTCTCTTCAATAGATTCAGATATCCCTGTGAAAATTCTCGTGAGAATTGATCCATATATCGATGCGCGTTTTCTGCGAACAGCAATAGCTGACGATGATGCGACTCCGACATTGTGTGACATTTGAATCCATTTTCATCCCGACACTGTTTCTGACACATTTGACAATACCATCTTAACTTCTGCAATCCTTTTGCCTTGATTTTATTAGCAATATATTTTGGTGTGCCTACTTCATGCTTTCCCATTTTTATGTTCTACTCTTAGCAGTTTTTTTCTCAGAGAGAGATTGAAACCTATAATAGGATTATAAATCGAGTAACAATTAGTATTATAGTTTATTTTAAAATCTAATTCAATCATAAATTAAAAAAAATATATAATGATAATTTGTTTATAACAGTTACAAGTATTATTTACAGGTTAGAAGTAAAAATAAGGAAAATTCAGCATTTTTATCACATTTTTTTTATCTTAGCATATTGAACTTACAAGTTATTTTCAAAAACTGCCCGAAACTGCCAGAATATTTTCTTATTCAGCATGAAAATTTTTTAAAACTGTCAGTAAAGAAAATTGATAATTCCAACAAATTTTTACTAGAACGCATTCAGTAGATCCAATCGCAACCATATGACGTCACGTTTTCATTGGCTTCAATCTGATTTGTTGAGTCAAAAAGGAAAAACCAATCACATTCGATTACTATTTTAGTCGTCCTGTGATCGTGGACCCATTGATTTTAGGGATACGTAGTTTAATGTTGGTCATTCTGCTTTCGTTAGCTCCCTCTTTTATCCCTTTCATGATCGACATCGTCCATGTTTCTTTTCCTTATTGAAAGAAAGCTGATCCAAGATGGTTAGTGAGGACATGAAATTATAATCCGAATTTATTTATAACATCAATGGTTAATATGCTCCGATTATTTGATGAAAATTGTGTTATTGCCACGGTCTAATCGGTGGCTTGTGAATATTTCCGAATTTTACTGGCATGATAGATTTATATCACATAACCTTGTGTCATCGAACACGAAGCGTCACAATTGTCAAGTTATAAATTGGACGGAAAATAAAAGGAATATTTTTTGCATTGCAATTTATATCTGAGCAAATAAAACAATTAATATTACAATCAGATTCATAACGACAATTCGTAACGCGTGTAGTCATTTTGTTTTAGACAGTATACAACATGTGAATGTACTTAACATGTATATTGAATTGTTCTAGGCAAAAGTGAAGTGTTCTGAATTAAGGACCAAAGATAAGCGGGAGCTGATGAAGCAGCTCGAGCAGCTCAAAACAGAATTGACCACTCTACGAGTGGCCAAAGTGACTGGAGGAGCTGCATCAAAACTGTCCAAGATGTAAGTTTTGTAATTCTTATAATTCATTACAAATGTCTTCATAGTCCTTCAAATTATGTAAATAATTTATAAAATGATAAATATGTATTTGTTTTTTTTGTTTTGATATCTATACTTTATTTCATTTAAGATATTAAGAAACTTTGAAGTCTATTGAGAAATTTGTTGATATATATCATTCTGTATGCATATGTTGAAATTAATTTTAATCTGTAATGTTTCTATGTATTTTTCTATTTGTCATTTTATTTTAGTCGTGTCGTGAGGAAGGCTATTGCACGAGTGTATATTATTATGCACCAGAAGCAAAAGGGAAACCTTCGCTTACTTTACAAAAATAAAAAATACAAGCCCCTTGACTTGAGGCCCAAGAAAACGAGGGCTATACGTCGTGTTCTTACTCCCTACCAAGCCAGCAGAAAAACGCTGAAGGAGATACGCAAACGTTCTACATACCCACAGAGAAAATATGCTTTGAAAGCATAGTATGTACATTTATAATTACTATTCAAAATAAAAATTTCATTAAAATATTGAGTGTTTATTTGCGACAAAATATTGATATTGATATTCACAATCTGTTAGCCTTTTGATAGCTAGGTGCGAGAGAAAACAAAAATTCTATCTGCAAAATTATTCAAGGCACTGTATATTTATAAAATAACTCCCTTCAGATAAAAATCTTACGTCCGTACTTTTACAAGAGATAAATACAGAAGTTTTAGAAAAGTCTAAGAACTCTATATACAAGTATTATTATTCTACATGACTAATTTATATTTATATTATATTATAATTTAGTTATAACAAAGATTAAACAAATTTATTATTCATGATTACACGGTAATGAGCCTTCCGGAGCACCATGGACATGGATGAAAATTAGGTTCTATAATACATGTATCTTTACAGTCTTTGATTTCTGTGAGAAGATCAAGAATATCTGATGTAGTTTTATCTTCGATCAATGGTAGCTCTGCATTGTCTTGCTTTTCATTTTCAGGTAGCGTAGGAGTATCGGCATTTGTATCTGTAAAGAGAATACAATCATATATATATATATATATATACACTTTCATTCTATATATCATATTAATTGTAACAAAAAAATAGATTATAATTAAATCTTTATTTAAAATATAGCCTTCACTCATTTTCGTTCAATTTATTAAAAAATTTTAAAGGAAGTAACACTAAAGAAAATATTAAATATAGGTAAATTTACCTTTATGACAATTCATTTCTGTGGAATTTATTAGTGTTTCGGGATGTTTTTTAAACAAATCAGTAACTAATACTTTTAATTTATGCAACTGTTCCTGTTGTTGATTACGTTGCTCTACTAATTGACGGAAGGTTTGCTCTCTTTCCTTCCATCTTTCTCCTAGAATTGCTCGTTGCTTTTGATATAAAGTTATATATTCTCCTGTGTGTATAAATATATACGCGTTATTAGATTTTTAAAAATAAAGAATTCAAATGTGTATGTGTATACATATGTTATGTGAAAGTAAAGGATAAAACAATAATTTGTATATAATTAAATTTAAGATTAAAATTAACTATTAAAATAATTATAGTTAAAAAAAAATTAGGAGTAAAAAAAGTATATATAGGACAAAAGTTTATATAATCGAAAATAGTATAACTTACCTATAGTTTCTGTTTCACCTTGGAGCTGGAGAACAAGATGTTCTAATTTCTGTTTCTCATCAGTTAATTCAGCGACCTTTTCCATTGTTTCCTTAAATCTGTTTTCTAATTTTGTAATAGGCCTAAAATTGTCTGAAATATTTTTATCTTCTGGCAGTGATGAGTTTTGCATTGTTATATCATTACAATTTTGCTCATTCTTTGTTACAGGATGATCTCCATTAACGTTTTCAACTTCTCTGGACAAATATGTCTCTTGTTGTACTTTATTCTCTAATTCTTTTGCGAGGTCGTCATTCTCACTTTTCAAATCTTCAATATAAATCTGTAATATATAAATTACGATTTATTAAATAAAATTATGTTAAATAATGAAATCGTGGATTGCATTCTCTCATGTAAAAAACATATATGACGATTATAAATTAATTAAAATTATTAAATTACTAAATAGTTCACAAGTTACCAAAGCATTTTGTAATTCTTGTTGTAATGTTCGGGCATCGTGAGACTGTGCTTGATAATGCTGCATTTGATCTGCAATTTGAGCATTTTGCAGTTTTTCTTTCTCTAATTCTATTAAAAGTGTTTCCTTTTCTTTTAATTTTTCTATTAGATTATCCATTTCCATCTCGACAGTATTCAATCTTGCATTTAATTTTCGGCCAATATTTCGTTCAGCTTGAAGCTGTTCTGTTAAATCCAACTTAGCATTACTCTAAAAAGAAAACAATTATATATAAGTTAAAACTAAATAAATTTTTGTAATAAATAGAAGTATTATAAATTTTTTTAAGTCAAAATATATAACATTAGATCGATGTATGTTATATAACTATACCACTCACAAGAGTAACAAAAGCATTTTCCATTTCAGTTAATTGTTCCTTTAATTGTTGATTTTGTGAAACAGCTCTAGATGCACCAAGTTTTTCGCTTTCAAGAACCTGTACTAATTTTGCTACATCAGTTCCATCATCTTTCATATCTCGTAATTCCTGTATTTCTTTTGTTAACATTTCAATCTCCGCATCCTAAAAATTATCTTGTGTCAATATTTTTCTATTAAGTTCCTGAATTGTTATTTTTTAATACTTATTTTTACCCTTTCATATAACGCGATATAAAGGTTTTTATGTTGTGCAGTCAGATCCTCTATGTTTTTCATCAAATTAGTTATTTCATCATTATGATCTTGCGATGGAAGTACGGCTTCACTTTTCTCTCTTTCATGCTGTAATTGTTGTTCTAAATCCGATAAACGTCGTATGTAACTTTTCTCTCGACTTTCTAAATCACTGATTATTTTCTTTCCGCTTTCAACCTGCAATTACTCAATATAAAATGACTACTTTTATGAACAGAGTTATGTAAATATTTATATGTACCTCATTAAATAATTTTGCTTGCTGTGCATCTAACTGTCGTACATAATTTTGATATTGTTTACTGGCTTCGTCCTTCTCGTTATTCACTAGTTTCAAAGTTTCTCTCATTTGAGCCAACTGTTGTTCTAGTACTGTTACAGTTTGATGCTGGGACTCTAACGTTTGCGATGTATCAGTTAACTATAACCAATTTATTTACATTAGTTTTAAGATAAAACGATTGTAATTTTCAACAAAAATCGTAAAAAATTACCTGTTGTATCCTTAATTCATTTAAGGAAAGTAAGGCTGCTTTCTCTTGGAATTCTTGTTGCAGAGTAATAAATTCGGTGTTCTTTAAATTTAATTTTTGTTTTAATTCTGATGTTTCCAATTCTAAATCTTCCTTTTCTTTTCTATAGACGAAAATGATTATTCGATTATTTTGCATGATACATATTTAAAGCCATACATTTATTAAAATTAAATGGCTTCAATATAAATACCTGAGTTCGTAATAATTCTTCTCGAGTTCATCATAGACTTGTTGCACTTGTTGAGCGTTTTTCTGAGTGTCAGTAGAATTACTTCGTGTTTGAGTTAACTCTTTTTCAAGCTCGTTAATACGAAGCTGGCTGTGTTTTAATTTTCCGCTCATCTCCTCTATCTCCTCTAAACAGCAGAGATTCAATTGTGACAATGAGAACATAACATTTTCCGAATTTGATATTCCAATATTGTCAGAACAAATTTTGCGTTTTTTCCGAGATTTTATATGCAAATTATAATAAATAATAACCTGAATTCTGTTTTGCAGTCTTCTGGCTCTGTGCCAAAGCTGCTGTGAGTTCTGCCTTTTCTGCTATCAGGATACCAGTAGTCTGCGCGTGGACTTGCAACTGCTCCTTCAGAGGATTTATCTCGCGAACAAGTTTAGCTTCAAACTCAGAATCTTTTGTAGCTAAAATTCCTTCCAATTCGGCCACTCTGCTGTGCTATTGTTTTGCAGACAACAACGAAATTAGAGATCCAGTATCCTGTACTTTGATTATGTAACTTTTAACGACAGTTTGGTATCATTATGTTGTCGATGCGCAACTTTTTTACCATATAAAATATCTGCGTGACGATAACAGTACAAAACTGTCATTAAGTTACAGAATCGCAATGCACGAGCTGCATACAGTGTCATAAAATATACTCACATAACGACTAACTTGAATGTGTAAGTCATTTACAAGTTGTTTCTGTTCCTCCAAACATGAACTTAAAAATTGATTTCGACACTTTAGATCAAAATCAAGTGAACTTGGTGGTTCACTGTGATCTGTATCATCTGTAAGAACATGAGCAACTTCCGAGGCCATTTCTAACAAATATTCTTTCTGCACCATTGATGGTCCATTAGATGCTGTAATGTTCAAGTTATATTTCTCATCATTTCCCATATATTGTGAATCTGATTGAAGACGCGAATACATGATGTCTTTATTGCCACTTTCGTGTAATACGGCAGTTTCCGGATAATTTTCCAAGGTGGGAAAACTCTTTTCTGTTATCTCACTATTACTTGTTGTTACTTTAGTTTCAATCATATCTGGTAAGTTATTAGCATCGTCAAAGTGATTTGTTACATTTTCTTCTTTATGCATAATATCTGTACTACATATATGTTTCTCATATTGTTTTTCTGCATCTTCATTCTGTTTCTTTTGATTATAGAGTTTGTCCACTTCTGCAGTTTGGCAATTTGTTTGGCACTGTCAAAAACATTGTTTAAACATTATACTTCAAAAATACATATTATATTTTAACAGAAACATATAAATTTCTATATTGTTACAGAATAATTACCTGTGATATGGATTCATCTATAACATTTAAATCTTGCTGTTTATTCAAGGTTTCTTGCACTTGCAATTTTTTTTGCAGTTGGAATTCCTTCAGCTGTAACAACAGTCACAACTTTATTCAAATCCGCTGTAAGATTTTACTATGCTAAAAATTTAATGCCAACACTTTTTAATAAAATATGTTAACAATGTGCATTCTAACAGCTTATAACATTTACTGTAATGACTTGGTAATGCAATTATCATAATTATCGATAAAGAGCATTTCGCATCAAGATTGTATTTGTATTGGAGCGCATTATTTAACATATATATGATAATTATTGACGTGACAGCTGGTTCCAAATGTAGAATTACCTTCTTCTTAGCAGCTAACAGCTTCTCTGTCTTACTCATATTCATTGCAATAATTTTCGTAGTGAAGGGCTCGTTAAGGATTACGTCGAGTACAAAACCTCAGGAAACACTTTACATTGTCGAAAATAGCGGCAGGGTATTGCGTGACGACGATGACAACGACGTCGTCTAGTCAGCTAAAAAGGGTTATGTCACGTCTACGTGTACCACATAGTGCCACACCTGTTCCTTGTCGCTGCACCGAAACTGCACTGATACTTTCTATCTCACTTTATCAAACTGGAAATATATATCTATTTTATTTTAAAGTGCAACGAGTGTAAACTAGTTCAGTTACGAAGTACAGACATGTGTCACGCGCAGCTTGTATCGTGTCACGTGACTTGAGTGAAAAGGCCTAGAAGTGGAGTAGTGATATGCCTGGATTTTATATGGAATGTATGATAGTGAATGTAATGTGTTGTGAATGCAATTTGAACGAGATGTCATCAAGACGTGCCGCTTCGTTCGCATGCGATTAAGAAGCGCATTAATCACGTAATTTCCCACAATTATGAGCGCGCAGAATCAGTTGCCAAATCTAGATAAGATCTTCCGAGATGACGACGAGCCTGATTTCGTACCATCGGGAGGGTGCGTATCATTCGTATATTATTGAATATGACTCGCTAAGTGCTAGTATAAGTCTGTTGATTAAGTGATAATTTGTTTCGAGATTAGTAGATTGTCTATTTTTTCTTCTAAAACTTAAACATACATTTGTTTTTATATAGATATTAAAATACAATGAAACAATTGAAGTGAACAGTGTTAAGTTGTTTTAATTAGTTCTAATTAATTAATTTTAATTTTTATAGCTTTTATCGGAATTATTCTACAAATGTTTCTTGTATAATTATTTTATAAGCAAACGAAGCTGAGTTTGTTTTTGTCTATTCTAATAATTTTTGTTTTGCCTTGTATTTATCAGATGATATAATTAAATATCTTGTATTTTCAGGTCTAATCTGGCTGCCATTTTTGGACAACAACCGAAGCTCGAGCCTTCTGTTAAACAAGTACCTAAGAAGAGTACTCGATATAACATACAGCAAATTGTACCATCTTCCAAGACAGAAATATTGACAGCTAAAGCTGTACACGCTTTTAAATTGTAATTTCATTAAACTGTTAAGAGAAAGAATAAAATTATCTCTCTCTCTATAATCTTATTTATTTTATAATAATGAGTACTAAATGAAATATAATTGAATTTTAGGCAAAATGGCCAATATGCTTGTATCGGAAAGGTTGGTATGGCCTTGACAGGCAATGTAGTAACAAGAGTATATCAGATAATTTTGTACAAGACTAAGCAAGAATATATATCTGTCACCACAGTGACACGTGATTTTGTGTATACTGTACAAACGAATAACTACGCTAGTTATTATGATAACAACAAAGAAAATTGGTCAATTTTATTTGAGAAACATGAGCATTACCTAGAGTTTGCAATAGAAGTGGGACTAGCACGCTATTTTGCGTTGCAAGAGAAAGGAGAGAATGTAATCTATCAAGATTTAATGCCAAGCGATAAAGATGTGATCGCGAAAGAGGGAGATGACATATGCATCAAATATTTCGTGGGGACTGAGATTATACAACCTTTTAAAACAAACTTCGCAATGTCGCAGACAATGACTGTGGAAATATCGACGGATGAAAATTGGGAGAGGATTCTTCTGGGCAGCGGCAAGGGACTGAAAACAGTTCTATTTTTACCGCCTAGCAAACAGGTAATTGACCAAATTTTTATGGAATGACATATGCAACAATGTTGTCTGCATTAAAAATTTTACATAGATTAGTTTAGGTCCTGGATTTCCTAAAGAGAGAGATATTATGCTGATAATCGAGATAACCGATATACGGGTACAGGAAGAAAATTCATCGATACCCAAAAATTTAACGAGTGGAAACCCAGCCATAATATCGAGAATGGCTAAAATGGGTCAGTCCATCTTACCAAAAATGCCTCTACCTTCCACTACTGATTCCGAAGATACTGAGGTGCTCATATTAATATTTTTATATTTCTATTAATAGAAATATCGAATATTTATGATATTGTTCAAATTTAAAAGAAGCAATATCGTTTTGCAGGATGATTTACCTCATACATCTCCTCGTCATAAGAAGGTTAGATACAATTTCCAAATTTCTCCGTGGAAATAAAATCTTTATTTTATTAAAATAAATATATTGTATGTTCTGTTAGATCGAACAATCAGAAGGAACTTTGCAAAAGAAGAATTCATCCTTCGTATCATCAGATGAAAAAGAGGCCATTCAGAAAGCTGTGGAGCCTAAAATTGGAGTGCCTTCTGTAGATTCTAGTACTTATAAGCCATTAGTTTCTGCGCAACCATTAACACCACAATGGACTCCATCATATTTTGCTGTACGATTTAATATATGTCGTTTTATACTTAATAAATTTATCAATGCGAGACATGATTATAAAAGACAATTAAAATTACAGGGACATTACGTAACGATGGATAATCAGATGTATCCTGTATCGCAGACTGTAAATCGTGCAATACCAGCTGCTCTGGATCCCGCAATGAATATGTTGCTATCGGAAACGAGAATAGCGAACGCAGAAATACGAATGGGGATGTCCAAAATATCTGATAATGTTCAGAAATTATTGGATAAGGTATGCATATCGATAAGAGGATGAGATTGCGTTGATTATAAAATTGTTACGTATGTAGTTCCATGTACTTGAGCTTCAAAATGCGACAACTCCTACGAACGATAAAGCAACTTTAGATGCTTCTTGGAAAATGCTATTAGCATTTAATGCATCTCAAACAGGAATAAAAGTCGACGAATTATCAAAAAATACTGATAAAGATATGTCAGATGGAAAGATTCAGGAGGCACAGAGCAAAATAAGTTCTTTAGAAAATGATTTAAAACAATCAAAAGGTAATAATCATCTGAGATAATATATTTTGAATAATAACATTGTTATATTAGAATATAATTTATGCATGTTTAATACCTATTCAATTATCAAAGCATGTTATTACAGAGGAAAAAGAATCATTGCTTCAAATTAATGAAAATCTGAGTAAGAAGCTTCAAGAATTGGAAACAAGACTAACCGATACAAATGACGAGTTGAAGAGAACCAAAGAAGCCTTAGAAGTAGCTAAAGATACAATTGCACAGTGTAAAGAAGAAAATATTAGTTTAGAAAATAGACTTTCTAAATATCATAGAGAGCACGTTCTTCAAGCCGATACAACATCTTGCAAACAGAAAGATGTAATGATCGTATTTTTTAATTGCAAATTTTATTCTTTATCAACTCAATATATATTATTCATCTATTTTGCAGATTGAGAAGAAAAATAAAGAAATTAAGCAAATAATGAACAAAACATACCATACATTATCAGAAAAACTTGCGGATGAATCACGTTCTGAACTATCTTTTGATTATGTAAAATCAACTATTGCAAACACAATAAAGGTACGAGATATGTAAAACAAGTACTTAACATGGTATTACTTTTCTAATCTAAAATTTTTATGCATAGCATATCACTTTGCAAGTACTATATGAAGATCCCGACGAAGAAGATAGAGAATCTAAAGCAATTAAAGATGTGAATTCCACAAGTATTAAAACTATTGACCATCAACAGATTGAGGAACCAACAATTGAGAAATCAATATTAAACCCAAACAATGACAGTGATTTCTCAATAAAATGTACGAAAACTTCACGATCTACTACGGTAATGACTTTATTTCCATACTTTTAAAAAAAAAAAAGTATGCATGTTTCTATGAAAATAAATTTTTGAAATCTCTTTTCATCCTAGATCATGCCTATATTTGAAAACGAACCGCCACCTGTTCCACTTGAGGGCATTGATGAAGTTGATAGCGAGTGATTGATTAATTTTGATTTTTTAATTTATTTCATCCTGCAAAAAGTTATTTCATAAAATGTTTCTTATTTTTAGTATTAGTTGCATGTAATAATGTATATTCTCAATATACATATTCTAATTATTGCGCTATTTCTAATAATTTCTAGATAAATGATGAAACTTTTTGTACATTTTAATAAAGAAGATATTTTTATTATAAATATATTTATATTGCATATATATACACATATACATGAGACATTTTATTTTGGCGCATATATTCTAATAAAATGTGTGCATTCAGAACGACAACCGCTCACTGAGCGTTCTGAATGTACCCAATGATTAAATATAAGAAAAATAATTAATTAAATATAAGAACTTATAATATCAATTCGAAATTTTAAAGACAGACTTACAAAAAATTATTAAACAGATAAAGGAATTTTTTTATTGTAAAATAAAATTTTTGTAAAATAAAATTTAAAATCACTAATTACAATTTAGACAATATTTGCTATTACTGTTTACTAATATATGAAAGACTAATTTCTGCTTTAATTTGTTTTACCTGATCTACCAAATTTTTTATGTTTTTCGCCCTGTAAAAGAAAAAAGAATATATCATACTAAGCAACTAATATATGATAATAATACACTAACAATAAGTTTATGTTTGTTAATCAATCTGCATTTGTAAAATTAGAGATTTCGAATTATTGATTTACAATTATACATACATATGAGAAAGATTCTCTTTTGCCGCTTCTTCTTGATTGTGTGTGAAAACAATTTCTTTCCTATTTTCATTGACTTCGGTACCATTTATGTGAACAGTCTGTTGAGCAGATTTTTTCTTCAGCTGTTCAAGTCGGATCTGCATGTCATGTATCTTCATATCCATTTTTTTCAATTCTTCCGCCTCTGCTCGCTCAATAGAAGTCATTAAAGGTTCTTTATAATTTACCAATCTTAGAACTTCTTCTGCTCTGAAAACATGGAATGTAATTTGCATTTTATTTTTTCTTCACAATGTTTAAAGAATTATTTTTTCTTTTCCCATACGATATTTAATAAATTATGTTGTATCTATCATTTATTTAACCTGATACTGAGGGAAAATTGTTTTGAAGTAATTAAACACTCACCTACGAGCCAATTCTTTTTGTTTATCATTAATATCTTCGTATCGTTCAGCTAAACGTTCGGCGGTCTGTCGTAATTCTTTTTTCGTCTCCATCAAGGTGTCGAGTTCTTTTAATAGATGGCTTTTCAAAGCCTTCAAAGCACGAACTTTCTTGCTAATTTCTTCCCGAACTTTATCGTGTCGGACAAAGTGTTGAGTACGAAAGATATTTGTGGCGTGATACAACAACTGAAATACAAAAAAAGAAACGTGTTTTCGATTATTATTAGAGTACAATTCTGCTCTGTAGTTCCTTTTTTATTTTTATACACAAATAAAAAGTTTTAGACATTTATATTGATTTCTAAGTAAAAAAATTAGCATTACTTTAATTATTTGTAACGTTTTCTATTTATGCTTACCTCTAGGGATTCGCTTAAGGACATCGAACGGGATCCTATCTTAGTTATCGGTTGTGATACATCACGTCTCAGTAATTTCTTGATGTATACGTCGAATGGTTCCTTATTCACCTTAAAAAAATCAATACATATTTTTTTACTAGACTACTTTAACTAAATAATTAATTACTTTCTTGCTTCATCCTAAAAGAATTGTGTGGAAATCTGAGCAAGAAAGCTAAAAAGGTTTGAGAATAGAAAAATAAAATAAAAATAAAATATAAGAAAAATAATATAATAAAAAAAAATTATCTCGATACGAAAGCATTGATATTCGAATCAGATTATACTATAACATTTATAATATAATAATATGTATAGAATTTAAAGAATGACGAATGGCTCTATGTGATAGCAGTATATTCGTATTTAGATTCTAGGTTTGACCCTGATCGTTATCCTATGTATGCTTCGATTTAATTAATTTAATTAAACAAATTAATTTGGAAAGTAATGGTTATGAAAGAATAATAGATGAATAGTATACTACTCGTTTCGATAACATCGTCATTCATTTAATATTCATAATTAAACGTTATTCATTTAATATTCACAATTACCTTTTTCGCAGTATTCATGACCGGTTCTAGCTGTTCAATTCTTGGAAGATAATAAAGGTCTATAACCGAGAGATCGATGACAACGCCTGTGTGTAGCAAAGCGATTAGAACACAAGGCTCTTGGAGGAGACCAAAACCTAATATCGGTGTAGCTTCATTTATATTTGTGTGTTTGGTTCTCGTGGAAAACAGGTATTGTAAAATCGATTGATTTAATAACGATGGTAGATAATTCCCGCTATTATCTAAGAAAAGAAATAAAATGTTTGTTAGAATATTTAACAAAGACAGAAAATCAATTTCAATATTTTTCTCTTATTCTTCGATTTTGATTTTTACTCTTAATAAGAAAATTAACTTAATTTTGATCAATTTTTTATTAGATATATGTGCAAAAAATAAAAAAAAATTGTTTATTCAAATTCACACAAGAATATTTTTATGGTTTTATAATAAAGCTCCCAAAGTAGCAGATACTAATTTTCCTTCTATACTCTTTCCTCTTTGCATAACACAAATATACTTGCCATGTATTAATTCCTCCAGTTGAGAAACCATCGGTAAACTCACCATATGAATCCCAGCATTGTGAGAGCAAAAATATCTAATACAATTAAGTATTGATAAAGTCAATTTTGTTTAATCAATAATCAAGTGCAATGTGGATTGCTTTAGAAATATCGCTCTTTTCGTCATAAAAAGAAAGGAATCAATTTTTAATTGATGATCAATCAAATTTTGACTAAATTATGGCGAGAAAAGTTGCGATAGTTCTGAAACATCTCATATGCATGTTTTTTTCGACTAATAACCTCGATTTGTTGCCCTTATCGCAGTGAAGGTGAATGGGACAATTATATTTCTTATCGTCATCTGTAAAGAGAAGACCCAGTTCCAGTTCGACGCATTCGTAAACGTAAAGTGCATCGTCCGGCGTGTGAAGACTATAGTTTGAACCATATTGCGACCAAGTCTGGGAGAAGAGGGAGAAATAATTTTTACATTCATTCTTTTCTTAAATAATTATTTTTGTAAAAAATTTATCTTCACGTTTTCGATTAACAATATAGAAAGAGTAGCAAAAAAAGTCCGCGTGATATATATCCCATGAAATACAAAGAGTTCTGCAATATTTATTATATGTCATACCTTTCTGTCGTCGTCATCGTCGTCCAATATTTCGCGCAGCAGTATCGCGTGATAAATCTTTCCGGTGCACATGGCGACGACCACTATCGGCGGGGTAGTTTGCAAGCACATGATAGAGCATGAATCTATCCCGTAATTATCATCGGTCGACGGATACATGGACAGCGAACCCAATACCACTGGATTCTCGCAGCTGACAACAGTTAAAGCCACAATCAAATAGGAAAATAGGCGCTATTGTTGACATAAGTGAAAACAATTCTGAGATAATTAATAGTGTAAACTCTTCTGCTAAAAATTAGGCAAGAGACCATGCGCTTAATTTTTTTTTATTTATAAAAATATTTTGTTCATACTTCTCTAATAAAACGTTTCCACGAACAATTAGTACTTCGCCGTTTCCACGGAGCACCAAGATCGGCCATTCGATCTGATTCCAATCTATTGTTTCTTTTATCTGAAAGTTATTAGAAATATTTCACAATAGCACTAATATTAACAGTACGTCATAATAACAAATTAAGAGTAATACTAATATAATAATAAATTATGTAAAAATCAATTTATCAATTTATTTTGTAAAAATCAAAAGACAGATAAAAAGCTATCGTCGATTTTAGAAGTAAGATTTGCTTTTAGTGTAATTAAATAAACTTTGAATTTGAAAGTGTTTATATTTTGAACGAATCGTTGTAACAATGTGTTCATTTTGGATTTTCAAATTATAGCTCTATCCAATTATTATTGAAAATTTTGAATGTTGCGATCAGGATAAGAATTTTAAAAATGGAATGTGTTGTTTTGAGTTCGCAAATTTATGATAAAACTCGTTAAACAACAATTGTGTAAGAAAATAAAATTTTATATTTGTAACATGTATCTAGCAAATTTGACGCGTTATTTTTTTACAATTGATCAAAAAGAAAATCATTAACAAACAGATAATTAAAATACGTTATGTATGATTGAAACAAGTATCTTAGAGAGGAAATATATTGTTTAGAATCACAAAGTTGTGGGCTTGTACCTCGTCAGTGTTCTTGTCGACGAACATTTCTGGTTTCCTCAGAGTAGAAGTGGCGAAATCGAAATCCACTGCAGTTTCGCCGAGGGAAGTAAAATCCGGGATCTTCGAAGGCGAGTTCGATGGTGCGCGGCCGACTTTCCAGCATTTTACGAGTCTTGGTGCATCGCCCAGGTCGCATTCATATAAACTGCGGTGAAGTTAAGTGTAGCTTAAGGTCAGTCCAACGACATTTTTAAAGACTCTTCGGCGTGTCGCGTAAAGCCCTCTAAAGTTTAGTTTTGCATAAACGTTTCCCGTACTTTTAAAGTCTAACGCGAGGAAGAGCTAAAGAAGGCGAATTCGAGTTATAAGTTATGTCACGCAGTTTTTCAGGAGTTTCGTCGTTTTCTGTAATTATAGTAGTATCCCCAACAGATGGAAAGGATGCTTTTCTTGCGGTTGAAAAGTGAGATATTTTCATCTTAACGTGTTATATATATATATATAGACGCTCGATTGACCGAAGATTTCGACTGATTCGTGCTAATAAGTAATTATGCAAGTATGTAATTCGATTAAGTAATTAATGCAATTCAAATTAAAGACGTTTCAGTTGAATAATTCCATTCAGACACTTTTCTTAATTATTAAAAAGAATCAATTATGTAAGTTAAAATAAAGTCACAAATAGCACACTTTTTATATTTAATTACCGGAAAGAATTTTCAGATGTCAAAACCAGTAGATGTG